TTTATCTTCAATGAACTAAATATTTAAGATCACTGCAAGCAAAAAAATCAGCCACTTTGAACTATCCAGAAAATAGTTCCATTATTCCAGTTTTTGAAAGTAGTTAGTCAGGTTTCTTCGACTCTTCATTTCTCTAATAGTTTGTTTATACCAACTAGTTTATAGCATTACTAAGATGAACTGGTCTGTATTTTGTCTTTGGAACATCTCTAGAAATTTGTTTTTAATTGTGAATTTTCGAAAGATAGGTAAGTTTTACTGTTGTACAATGGTTAACTTGATTCCTTTGTTTTGAATTTCTTTTTCTGCTTGGTAGAGGATTAATATGACTGATTGGAAGCCAAGAATTAGAGTTAAGGGCGGTACGGAATAAAAGAGAATAGATGAAAAATTTCAGAAAAGTGGTTACGAAATTTGATGCAGTTGTTCATACAATACAGAAAATGTTTTTGCAAGGACACGCTCATTTGTCATCCTAATTGTCCGTCATCTATATCTATCTAGTTAGATTCATGTATCCTAGCCACTCTATATTTATCTCTCGCAAGTTTTTCAATCAAACCATGTAAGTTTTATCTCTTTTTGTATTCTCCAACAGAGATTTTAGTTTTAACCCACCCATTCATTTTGAATTACAGTTCATAATAGAAGTTAAGTCAGTCAATTCAACTAAGAGCCAATCTCTCGACCGGTGCATGGAAGCCAGTAATTATCATCATATGGCATCAATATATCATGGTCACATTTACCGGTTTAATATTTCAACTTTTTCCTTTTGTTTACTCCAACTATCTATTTTTTTTTAAATAGAGCAGCTAATAATTTCTTTTGAGAATTATTAATATGATTTTAACCAAGTTTCGAATTTTATTTTGTCTGAAAAAATTTATATCGATAAAAATTATACCTCACATATTACGCGAAGATATAATAAGTAAAGTACAACATCATTTTCGAAGTTGAAATTTTTCAGTTTTACGATTTCATAGTCAAACTACAATTGCTCTTATACTGTAAAAATGCTAGCCTCAGTTTAAAAGAATAGCTAGGTCATCCTAGAAACAATTCTCGAGGATGCGTCATTCTAAGTAGTAGTGCCGCAGGTAACAACAATTGAGTTTACCTGCTCTCTGCTACTTAACATGACTATCCATATTTGAACAATTAACTCGCCTTATCCGTAGCAATTTGATTCTGTTCAATTCAGGATTCATTCCTTATGCAGCATACTATCTAAACATTCATTATTTGCAAAATTTCAAGTGATATAAGGATAACTAAATAATCCACCACAACAATAATAATTGAAAGAAAGAAAAAAAAGCTCAGAAGAAAGAATCAAAAATGGGGAAAAAATAACTCCATCCATATCATCCCATCCCACTGGGACAATTCCACATTTTCAAGAAAATTTTAAACCCTCAAAACCACACCGCAGAAATATGAAAAATCAATGTATTCAACCCCAAAATAGTGCTCTTTAACACCACCTTTCTTTGCCTCCTCTTCTTGAGCACTCTCATTTTCCTTTTTTTTCTTTCAATTTTTATGATTTTTTGAATCAAACATGTTATTCCAGTCATCGATCTAATTAAGATGCAAACCTCGAATCTAACAAATGAGTTTACTAAAAGATATTTGAGAGAATTATCATTCGGATGCTGTTTTCAAAAAATACGAATTTGTCTATTAGAACATATCAATCCCTTTCACTTTTACAGATGCAAATATCTCCAATTCATTAGCGCTTGTTTCATTTAATAAAAGTGGTTCAAAGTTTGAAATGCTAAGACATACACTGTGTTTATATCTTTCATGATAGATCGGCTAGTCAACAGAACATTCATTAATAAATTGAGCAAAAATGTGCTGGCCAAGGAAGTTATTTTTCAAAACCAAAGCCTGTGGTTACATTTTTAAATCAAAGATTAATGAAAACAAAATTACGAATTTGATTTTACGTCCCTTAAAACTATTTCAAAGTTCTACAAAAAGCATAGCACTTAGCAAACTGAAACTTTAGAGCTCTCTATTGACACTCTCTATTAAACTTGTTAATAAAAAACGCTATTCGTCAATAAAATGCTATAGGCGGGGACATGTGATATAAATAGAAGTGACTTTATCACTGATAACTTTCCAAAATGATAAGATATAGGTGAGGAGTATAAAATACGTGGCCGAGTCTTTTTTAATTAGTCTCATTTTCAATATAATAAATTTTTTTAGTATAAAATAAGATTTAAAAATATTTGAGAACTGATCATTGAAGTCAATGCCCGCACGAAACAACCTAAAAATTTTTTGCCAAAGTTTAATTCATTCTACCTAAGGAGTAAAATTTTTAGACTATTACGTTTCCATCTAATCCACGAAACTCAATAGGTTATATCCATTTAAATTACTTTGCCGTTTCTTCGTGATTATTCTTTTCACTTGTTATTAACGTCAATTAGCAGCTTCTTTTTTTAACAAGAATAAAATTTAAATTTGCTTCAGAGCGATGCTTACTTGCAATGCTGTCCTTCAATGCAAACTTCTTGGCAGCAAATTATAAAGGAACATTTCTCCATTTTCTGGCGCTTTGCTTTCAGTTGAAAAGTATGAAAAATGCTGTTCATTACCGTTCTCGCTTACTGTGACAGCTGAAACAACTTTTCCTGATGATCACAAGCAATCATGTTTATTATTCATACGACAAACAAAACCCATAATGGCAAGACTAGCCTCTTCACTCTCTCAATTCGAAAGCTAAAAATGACCCCAAACGCAGTCATTTCAAAACTGTATGTTGGGAGAAATATTACCTTTAGCACTGAATTTGCCACCAAAACCATTAACGATCCGGAAAAAAAATTGCGCCGTGTATATTTCAGACAAAGTTCACAATTTACTAGTACAGGTAATTTTGTATTGAAATCGATGAGCCAAGTAAAAGCTCCTTGAAATTTTAATGTTAAGATAATGAACATTCGTTTTTCACCACAGAAATTAGATAACAAAACATGGAATATGCCATGATGAGTGAATAAGTTTTCCAAATGAATACATTGTCACTTTGAAAAATTTGTTTGGAATTCACTTTTGCGGGAGTAGCTGACGGTTGTTTCAATTTATTTTTCGGCAACTCATATGAAAAACGAATGAGATTTAAATAAAAGGTGAAATTTCTCAATTAATACAAGCAAACAATAGTTGGAGAATATATTTCAAAACATTCCACTTTCAGAAAGACCTTTTGTTGCTTTTTGTTTTTTTTTGAAATGATTAAAACACCGCCAGGTAGAACTAAAAATCGATCGAATTGTTATAGTTTCAAATAACCGAAATTCGGATTATGAATAATTCACATTTACAAGGCAATACTTTCCGTAAGGTTCAAGAACTGTACAAATAATTAATTCATATGATATAGTAGATGAAAAGGCACAATAATGTTCACAGTCAAATCTGTTCTTACGTTTCAGAAAAAAATTTAGATGCGAAAACTTCAATTCATTTTTTTGGAGAAGATTGTTACTGGTAAATTGTTAAGATGTTCGGCTGATAGAATACCTATGTTCATTTGTTAAGGAGTTGAAAAAGGTTATGTAGGAGCAACATTATGTCGCACTCCTTCACCAATATGAAACATTCAAATTGATATCACCACGTTGTGATCCTCCTTGAAAGCGTTTTACACAGTGGTACATTATTCGTAGTTTCCTTGCCATATGGCGTTACAAAAGTAGGATTGACCAAATGTAATAACGCCTGCTTCCCCGTTTTTTCAATCCCTGTTTACAAGTTCACGGACTCTAGCTAAAGTGAAAATCATCATTAGAAGTGAAACTTATAACCTAATTTGGCTCCACACCGGAAAATTTCGCCTGCACAGACTATACAGAGAGCAACAGACTGAAATCTCTCCTATGCTTTTGTGGTTGACAGTGATATGTCGAGGCTTCAACAAGTTCAACCTCAATGGACCTGGAAGTATTTCGCGGCGGCCGTCTCCTGACTGTAGACAGACAAGATCAATTCTTTCCCTTCACTTGCTTCAGTCCATATCGGCCTAGCTTTATTAAGTAGTTCTATCCCTGAGATTAGGGGGAAGTGGGAAGGGTGGCAGTGACGTGCCTATCCCTTGGTTAGTCTCAGTTTCACGGATTACCATATTTGTAACTTTTATTGTTCGAATAAGTGATTCTGACCTTGTTTGAATGGAGTGATGTCGTCAAAATTGAGAGCTATCGTTTGTTGTTTATACGGATATCAGTTAGCTTAAGGACTTCGGAGTAAGCAACGCTTTCACTGGTTCGATTGGACGATGGACCAGAAAATCTGTTGTCTCATCAAATTAACTAAAACGACAAGCTGTGTATTTTGCTGAAGAGAATTCTTTTTTCTTTCTTTCTTTTATCAGTTTTTCACACTAAATTCTTTCGACTCATTCCATTCTAATTTCTGTTAATGTTGATATTGTTATCTTTGTCTTATATTACATTTACACTGATTGACATTTCTTGTTTGTCTTTTTCATTTGTTGTATTTTCGAGGTCAGATGACCACTAACTGCCGGTCATTCAAGGATGACAGGACAACTTCATATCAGGAACAATTATACGTACTGATCTCCGATAAGAGTTCATACTTCCGCTCCCTAAACAATTTGTATTTAACTGAGCTGTTTGTCAGCACTTCGTTCTATCTGACTAATCTGCTCGAATTTTTGGTATTTACTTACATCATTATGAGACGCGCAATGGGGATGCTATTTGGAAAGTTCTCTACACTGTGTGAGAAATGTTAGAAATAATTAATAATTCGTTGGGAAATCTCGCAAGCCATAGGTCGATGAAATTGAACCCGCAATAACCAGTGATTTTTCGTGCTCCGATCCTGTAAAGCGAAGAATGGTGCCAGAATAAAATGTTCCGTTGCATGCGATTTGAGCAGCTGCTTGAGAACTTTAAATATATCAGTGTTATTTGATTAATTTTAAGAAAACTTCGGCAGCCATGTCCGGCGATGATGCTACACGTGATACGGTGGTTGAAGGTGTGAAAACAAATAGGCATGAGAACAAGGATGACGATGTGAAAGATGTTTGTTGTGGAGTGGTTCGCCGAAGACAAAGATTACTTTCACTTTCTGTGCCTCGTAAGTTTTTTCAAAATGTTTTAATATTCAGCCAAGTGAATTGTCCAATTTTTGCTTTCAAGTGCTGTTGTATATATAGTCAACATAGCTTGACATTAGTTAACAATTCGAGACTTTTTTGTTGAAAAAAAATACAAACTTTGGTTTTAGTTACCTTGCATCATTTTCAAATCCTCAATTGGGTTTGTTAGTGTGATCATATTGTTGAAACGCTGCCTTCTGCTGATGTTGATGCTATAGAGTTGAAGCAATTGGTAGCCGTTTTTAATAGCTTGTTCTTATGGGTTTTTATGAATAGTTTTAATCTTTTTGTAAGTTGAGTTTTCTTATCTTTTTAATAATTTACAAAATTAAGATTTTGATGGATTATACCATAATTTTCTTGAAATTCTTGATGAAGTCATATGCTAAGTTGTAAAATTGGAAAAACTTTTGCCTGCCACGTTCTTCAACTGAGATTTGCTTTTATAAGTATCCGTTCTACATCGCTTATAGTTCGTGTAGTTTGTGTCCTTATTTATCAGATATCGTATCTTTTCTATTTTTAACACATTGCAACTCATTTCAATTGTTCCAACTCTTATTCTATAACGGAGATCACCTGTGAAGTTATTGATAGTTTCCAGTATAATGTTGGTCTTTCATTTATCAGCTTAAAAGCATTACTACATGCTTTTACGGTGTATAATTTCACGTTTTACTAAAAGTTATAAGATCAGTGTCTGGTTGTGATGCTGGTTGAGGACGATTCTGTAGGGTTCCTGCCTGCGTGGAACCATTGCTTTCGCCTTAGGTGAATTTCGTGAGTATTTTTGTTGCTAATTTTTGGTTTTTTTCTTGAGTTAGCCGAATTACAAGTTGTGTCTGTGATAAAATTCCTTCATTTGTGACACCTAACTAAATAAATAACGAGGTGATATTCTTTGTACTCTCTTTAATTAATTCAAAATTGTATTAAAAGACCGTTTGATTAAGCCTAGAATCAACGAAGTCGATCTCAAATAATTTAATCTCTGTATTTGGGTCATAAATAATTTAATCTCTGTATTAGCTGATAGCGACATAATAAAATATATTTATATCGAAAATAAATACATTTAGACTGCCATCATACTTTATTTTGCGGGATTTGATGATAGCGATGTGACAAAATATTACTAAGATACTGAAATTCAGCTTTTTCGTATTTTCCTTCCTTTTTGATTCTTTTCTATTTTTTTAAAAAATTGTTTTCAGCAATGCCGTGGTTCGGTATTGATATAGGAGGCACATTGGTCAAACTTGTCTACTTCGAGCCAGAGGATCATGCATGTTTTTGGACTATGCTGAAATTACGTAAAATCATAGGACAGGACAATCAATTTTATTGTATGCAGAACCAATTTCTGTTAATATCGGTTTTTCCACTATCATAACTCATGAATGCATTACAGAATGATTTTATTGAAAATGAAGAAGAAGTTTTACGGCGTAGGAAAATTCAACGGTATCTTGTAACAAGCAAAGCCTATGGAGGTAGTGGTGTGAGAGATGATCACCTGCGTCTCTGTAATGTCGGAATTAATGTTTGTTCCAAATATCATTAGAATTTTTTATCTTCTTTTCAATAATGTTAGAATGAAAGTCTCAAAATTTTCACAATGGAGTACGTTTGGTTAGAACCTATTTTTTAAGAAACGTGATCAGTGTCTAAAATATTTTAAGTTGCTCTATATTATAATATAAAAGAAAATTCAATCAGTTCCGTTTATATTAGATTCATTTGGACTTGGAAAAAGAAGAGAGTATGATACCAAGCGTTTAAATATTGCACATCTCATCCGTTTTTGATTCTTTATGTTGCTTTGTTCAGGGCAGAGTTGGCACAATACATTTCATTCGATTTCCAACAGATAGAATGCTTGATTTTGTATATTTGGTCAAGAGTAAAGGATTTGCCGAAATGAGCAGCACAGTATGTGCTACTGGTGGTGGTTCTTTAAAATATGCTAAGGAGGCAACGGTTTGTCTCTTTTTTCATGTGGAGGAATTCCTTTAAAAACGAGTTCATTTAAAATCAATTGAATAGAATTTGTTTCGTTATTTATTACTGAATTTCATTACAATTAAGTGATATTCATTATAAGTCTTCGTTGCCAGCTGCTTTTATCAGAGAACGATAAAGTTGTTCTTTTAGGATTTGGGTTTGCAATTACACAAAACAGATGAATTGGAATCTTTGATTAAGGGTATTGAATTTATTGCTGCAACAAATCCTGATGAATGCTATTATTATGAGAATCCTTTGGATGACACTTTATGTAGAAAAGTAATTTGGTACGTTATATATATCAGTTATCGTTTTTTGATTTGATTTTAAGATGGTTCTCTAAGATAATAAAATTTTGTAGGCGGTGGTCACATGGTCGTTGCTCAAGATCGGATTTTGTTCCGGAAAGCGAAAAGAAGGATGGCTTGCAGTATCCATACATTGTTTGTAATATTGGTAGTGGTGTATCTGTCTTAGCTGTACGTGGCCATAATCAGTTTGAGCGGATTGGAGGCAGTAGGTAGTAGTTTTAGACTTTATAATATATATATATTATGTATTTGCTCAATTATTGGACGCATAATTTCAGCATTGGTGGTGGTTTCTTTCAAGGTATATGTGCAATTATGTGCGGATGTGAAACATTTGAAGAAGCGATTGAATTGGCATCGCGAGGAGACAATAAGAACGTTGATAAGCTCGTGAAAGATATTTATGGCTCAGGTTATGATCAGATGGGTCTTCCAGGAGATGTTATTGCCGCCAGGTGATTTTTACACACATTTCTGGAAATACCGCCACTTTTTGCACAGTGTTATATCATTTAATTGCAGCTTTGGGAAAATATATAACAAAAAGGATCGCGATAAGGCACGAATTGAAGACCTTGCGCGTTCCGCGCTCGTAACTACAACAAACAATATTGGTTCAATTGCATTTAACGGAGCGAAAACTTGCGGAATTGATCGGATTGTTTTTGTTGGTAATTTTCTTTTGTGAGAGACGTTGGATGTTTTGTATGTAATAATTTAATTTATCACAGTGCATCATCTCAGTTTTTAATTTTCACTTTGAAGTTTGCAAGCACAGTGTATTTTTTATTTGTAAATAATATTTCAGGAAATTTTCTGAGAGTAAATCCCATTGCTGCTAGACTGCTGAGTAATGCTATGAATTTTTGGTCACAAGGAACGAAAAAAGCACTATTTTTGATACATGAAGTAAGGAGTCGCTTGACAAATGATTCTCATTTCGCAATATTTTCTAAGGCATCCCTTTATTAGTGGCAATATATTGTTCCTTGAAATTCATTACTAATATTCTCAATATACAGGGTTATTTTGGCGCAGTTGGATGTTTGGATAAATTGGTCGATGTTACGGAGACAAGAAGGCGAATACGTGCTGAAAATCAATAGCGGAAAACAACAGTAACATCACGAATTTGATACGATCGGGGTTATCAGTGGAGTAAAAAGTAAGGCACTGCTCTTGTTAGAATTTATACATTATCGTCCTATTATTTGTTTGTTTTTGATTGCTAAAAAATTCGCATTGGTTTGGTTCAGATTGTCGAGAAATATGATACCTTTAAATTTGTTTGCTTCAGCATTCCATCTTTTGGCATTAGGTTCTAGCTAATATCTTTTGCGATCATTACTCGTTCGCACAATGATGAGAAATCTGTTAACCTGATGAAAAATCGCTGACTGTAGGTCTTATGGATTCATTTTTTTGAAGTGTGATACATCATTTGTTCTTTAATTCAGATTTTTACCTTTTCTCTAAAGTGTCATTTCTGGCACTTATATTCTACCATTTTCGTTGTGCGAATCGTTCGAATTTTCGTGTTGAATCTATTGTTAAACCAAATTTTGTAAGTGTTGATGTAGGCTATAGCTATTTTTCTGTCAGTCTCTTATTTGTCATTTGAAAAAAAAAAACCTCTGCTATTCGAAATCAGAACTGAAAATAGTTATAGTGCCTTCGCATTTTATGTTGATCATTCCCTTCTCCTTGCTCATCTTTTATCTCATTCACTTCATTGTGAGAAAAATTTTTCATGAGGTCCTATATTTGTTTTGCTATCAACTATTTAGAAGTAATTCACTTCTGCTTATTTTGGTACTACTTACTTTCTTTTTCACATATTTGGAGGAGATTTTGCTTGTAGAATTGTACCCCCATGTGTTTTGTTATAATATTTTTCGATCCACTTATTCTTTGTTATGCTTCGCAGGTCTTTTAGTATTTATCTTGACGTCCATTTGCATCTGACGTTTGCACGTCTTCCTTCAGTATTCGTCCTCTTTCAATACGCTGTATTTTGTATCATCTTTTTTAAAATTATCGAATGCAGTTTACTAGATCAGGTATATATATCTTTTTGTTGTTTCTCATTATTAATATTAATTTCACTTATTTCATTATTCCATTCAGTAATAAAATAATGAACTGAAATAGCAACATTCGTTGCGCTGCAGCAGTGGTGGTTTGTACCCCTTCCAAATATTTGGATAGTATGTAATAAATTTCGAGCAAATTTTTATTTTCATGAATAGATAGTGTGTCGATATGCATACAAATACTTTCCCTACTGCGAAGAAGTGACCTACGCAGTTACAGGGGTTTTTGGTATTTGAGAGCAAAGTTGTTGGAAAAATTGCGATGCAATAAAAGCAGAAAGTGTTTCATAACTTAAAAGGATAAAAGGATCAAATACCCATTAAAGTATTCTGTAATACGGTAATGCACCAAGTAAACAAAAGAAATATGACAGTCGTGGAATGAGTGGTATAACGGTAATGGTGAATGCAATGTTGTTGAAGTTAAACTGGTTGTAATGGAAGCGGGTACTCATGGATGTATAGTTTGTGCCACCATTCCCTTGGTTGAAGTTAATCTCCATGTTGAAATGCAACACGGCTGGTCACTTCAAGGTGTTATTTCTCGTGAAAATTTCTGAATCACTGCTTCAACGTCAAACACCGGTATTAATTAGGGAAAGGGGCATTGCTTTCAAAGATGCTATGATGAATGAATTGTTCCTGTGCCAACTTACATTCTGATTCAACTGAAGGTTCATACTTTCATTTGTCAATTTATGAGCTGATTCAAATCATATGATTCATATAGTAAAGTTTATAGCGTGTCGTATTATTAGGTACCCATAGCGTCAGATATCCTTTGTTATTTTGAGTAATATTTTGAGTAACGAGTAATATTTTTTGCTCGCAAGTAATCTAAATTATTAAAATTATAATCCTCATGTACCCGAAATTGTATTTGGTAAATTACGCTCCTTGCAGTTTTGTGGCATTGTTAGCTTACCACTAATTTTTCATCTTTGTGTCAATATTTCGTAGTTGACCGGCTCATTTGAATATGTCTGTAAAAAAGCGAGAGATGTACCGATAATATTAAAAGCTTGTAATGGCAATGTATTTCATATTTTTTCCAAAATATGAATGCTAATATTCATTTTGTATTCATCTCTACGTCTGTAAATTTACAGGAAAATTCGGAGTGCGATGATAAATTTCACAGCAGAATATTTATTAATTTTGTTTTGTACTATATTCTTTCTAACAGTTTTGTTAATGGTCCTAATGGTTGTGACTCTGTCATTATTTGATCAATCTGTTGGTCTTAACCATTACTATGTGAGCTGCTTGCTCAAGATATTCGAGGTAATATTTTTATCCCTACAACATAACAAGTACTAGCTGTAATAGAACGCTTCTACTTGACTAGAAAGAATCATATTATTTATGTTTTGGTAGTGTTATTGAACCCATTAAAAGTGAAATAGTTTACAGTGGAGTGCTCGACAAATACACTTATCGGCTAAGGAGAAAAACCAAAATTCGCAAAATCTGTGCATGAAAGTAAATGACAATGACTATGTGGACAATTCGAATCTCGAGTTGGAGCATCCGACTGCTTTCGATGATTTTGCTGGTGAGAAGATAATAAAAGGTCGAAAAAGGAGACATTCCAGACCAAGTAAGCCTTATAACTCATTGCTTCACTACTATAGAGATAAAACTAGAGATTGCTTCAGGGATAATATTTCGAGAGACATCGGTGCATTTCGATGATGAAAATGGACAACAAATTGCGAATATTCGAGGTTGGACGGTTGTACGCGACAGTATGCATTTTGTCAAGGTTTTGAATTAACGAATTAATGGTAACAAGCAATTAGGCATGGTTGTAGTTTTAAAAGGCTGCAATTTATAATTATAAAGTGTAGTGAATAGTGGAACCGATTGCACTAGAAATTAGTTCAGTTAACTTCGGTATTTTTGAACAAATGTTTGTTGTTACTTGTGGACTTGACTGAATAAAAATGTATTTTCCTTATATTCTCGCCGTGATTTGACGATCTTTGAAATTTTGAGCTTATAAATAATTTCAGGCAGGCATTGAGGCAGTTATCCAGGATGATGTAACCAGTCGATTTGAAGCTGAACAACTCGTTTCGTGGAACATGCTTACTCGAACTAGTTTATCTTTCAATCAATTTATTAAGTGCGCTTTGGACTTCTGTAATCTGATTTGGTCGAACTGAGATTAGCACATGTTCCTACGACCTCATTTTTTGCAGTTGGAAGTTATCGGTTATTTGGGCGCTGGGATTTTTGTTTCGATATACAGTTTTACTTCCTATGCGTTTGGTTCTGTTACTCACTGGTGTTAGCTTCATGATTGTTAGTACAGCCATGATTGGGTTATTGCCGGAAGGATCACAGAAGCGGTGGTTCAATGAGCGTTGTCTGTTATGTGGTCATCAGATCTTATCCAGTTGTGTGTCTGCCGTCATCACATTTAATAATCGTGAAAATCGGGCTCGAAATGGAGGTAAATATTTCTTATGTTAATCAAGTCATATTATTCTTAGTCTATAAAGCATATCCTATTTGTGGTTACCAAAATAAAGAGGTTTTTTTAAGGAATTTGTGTTGCAAACCATACGTCACCGATTGATGTAATGATACTTAGTGTGGATTGTGCGTATGATTTGGTTGGGCAGCGTCATAGTGGTTTCCTTGGAATTCTGCAACGCGCTCTTAGTAGAGCAAGTTCGCATATATGGTTTGAGCGAAGTGAAATTCGAGATCGTTCATTTGTTGCAGAAAAGTAAACTATTTCAAATTTTCTACAACGATTTTTTTAGACTGAATAATAACTGAGGAATGTGTTACACGTAAGGTGTAACTTAAATTCACGAGGAATTATGATTCAGAAAAAGTTGGTGAATGTCATAGCACTTTGTGAGGAGGATTTTGGAATTTGATTTGGCGGATAGCCATATTGAGCTACTGTTTACTTCTTAATCAATTCTAGATTGAAAGAACATGTTGACAATAAGAATTTGCTTCCAATTTTGATTTTCCCTGAAGGCACATGCATCAATAATACGTCAGTGATGATGTTCAAGAAAGGATCATTCGAGGTGCACTATATGTATTGCTTGTTTTGTCGGTACTTCGTACATTTTCTTAAGCAGTTTTACATTAACATGTCAAAGTATATTTTAAGATTGGAACAACAATCTATCCAATTGCAATGAAATACGATTCTCGTTTTGGTGATCCATTCTGGAATAGTAGTCAACATGGTTGGTTTGAGAATTGCTTTCGCATGCTTACTTCATGGGCTATTATATGTGATGTTTGGTATCTGGAACCCATGAAGAAATTTGTAAGTATTTTTTCCATTGTGCAATCAAAAAATGTATAGCGATTCACATTTGGCAAAATTTTTTTTAATCTCGCATAAAACAAATCATGGCAATGTTACGAAGAAATCGGATACAAAACAGGAAAATAAGTTTCTGTGTCTGTATTTAGCGAATTTCTATTAATTTGAAAATTTATTGGTTTAAAATTGTTTGAATGATGTCATGATGGAAAAGGATTTTTTTGTTAGAGTATGGTTCATAGTTTAATTGAGGAATATAGTATGGATTTTTGTCCTCAGTTGTCAAGATTGTTTTCAGCCCAGTGAAAATGCAATTGATTTCGCTAATCGCGTGAAAAAGGAAATAGCTATGCGTGGTGGACTTGTCGATCTTCAATGGGATGGGGAGCTAAAACGAAATCGAGTTCCAACTAAATTAATTTTGCATCAGCAGCAAAAGTTTGTTCAGCTCATATTCTTACGGCTGCTAAAGTGACTTTCTTGTTTATTATTTTCATGGTCTCAAATTTCAACTTGTTTTTTACAGATATTTTCGGCGTCTCGCGCGATACTTTGCAGATGATGTGAAAAAGTGCATCTCTACTCCTGAAATGAGAACAGTTGGATGTGAGCTTTAAGTTTTTATCATTTTCCAAGTATGTCATACGGATTTTATCATAAATTTTTAACTGGCATACTTTTATTCTTCCATTAAACTTGTTATTCTGTTATTAGCAAGTCTTTCTGCGACTGATGATCGAGCAAGCGAAAATTCAGAATCTCATCTCGGTGTTGGTGAGGTGGTCTCAGACGATATGAAACACAAAGATATTTCGTCGAGTAGGTAATCACTTTCTTCTATTTTACTAAGACAAGTTACCAATATACTTTCTAGCTTCCTTTTATCCGTGTAAATATTGTCAAACTTCACAGAGTTCAATGGTTTCTAGGAGGAGGGAAATTACTATTTAAAATGCGTCTACAAAATTTCAAAATTTGATTTCTACAAAATTTGGTCTCCTGATATTAACTTCACTCAACCGAATATTGTCCAACATAAACTACTCTGTCTTTTTTTCTTTATTTGTTTAAGATGTGAGACGGCAGCCGTTGCGTAATACCAGTCTGGGTCAAGCAACTTGTTCACGTTATATGGAAGTTAATGAGGTTTTGATTAGAAGTTTTTCAGAGACTTATCAAAAAATGGAGTGAGACGGAAAAGTTCAGAATTCGATCGACTTTTTATTACGATGAATCAATGCCAATAAATCAATTGCAAGTTATGAATGCGTCATCATTTCCTCTTAAAGCCTTGTAAACTTGCCATTGTTCTATTACTTCAACCGGAATGAAAAATGGTGTTGGAATTATCATAACTGTTCGTGATGTCCCGAAATTGGGAGTTTTCCTAATTGTATGTCACTGGTCTTAAAATAGGTTCGATTCAAGTGCAATTGAATTTTTTTTGTTTCCTTACAAAACACCTAATAAAAAATTGTCACTTGCATTGTTTAGTTTCGGTGAGTATTACGCTGCAATAGCTTTAGAATCTCAAGTGTTGTTTTAGTGTTCATCGCTGTTTACTTACTTTTAAGTAAGACTCATCTCATTTTGTTTCAAAAGTATAACACTGTTGAACCGTAAGAAATTGGAATTTTTTTTCAAAATTTGTAGTTTGTTCATTTGCATTTTTGAAGGCAAAAACATCATATCGAATAAGGTTGTGACAATGATCTTATCCTGTACATTTTTCCCCCTTCATTCAATATTGCATCCGTAATGGTATTTGAATTGATTAATTGGTATTAAAAAAATGTAATATGATGCAGGAGACCACCAAAAAGAAGACCAGCAAAAACTGAAATAAGCCTCGGTTAACGTTCATTTCCGCTCTTTGTTGTTAAACCGGTGTAATACTCAACTTTTCCTACATCCCTCCGCCTTATCAGTGAAATAAATAACTCTGGTGAAGTCTTCCTTTATACTTCCAATGTTTTCTTTTCCAAAATGTATATATCTGTAAAAAAGTAACGGTGTATTTATTTTTTCGATGTTTTGTTACATACTTATTTCGCAAATTAAATAAAACCAGTCAGTTTGATGTCTCTATCTGCTCGATTTTCAGATCCACCCATACCACTACATTCGTATAAAACATTTAAATGCCTATCTGGCCTGGCTAGGTAAAGTGCTTACGGCAGTCAGTAAATACTCGTCGGATCTGTTAGTTTCATAGAAGTGACTTAAGAGTAGCGTAAACTTCTTGTATGCGCGACTGGTTTCTTCCATCCATTATGGCGGGTATGTTTACGGTGATTGGCGAAAGGGTTGAATATACGTAGGAAGTGAGATGATGTTATCGCCTGCATATTTTGAGTCTTGCATTGAACGTCGTCCTGTTGAACCTTAAACAGATGTGGACTGTACCGTATATTCAGTCATTCACAATGTATCGAAAACATGGATGACCGTCCCTTTTTAATGAGGCTTAAAATCGCAAAAGGAATGCAAGATTTGACTTGTAGCTCGAGCCGAATTTGAATGTCTGCACTATAATTCTCCACTGGCAATTTTAACAGAATGAATTTGAGAAATTAACATATATTTCGTTACTAGGAAAGAAAGGATAAGGATCTCAAATAAGGGACACAATCTTGTCTGCGAAATACTTTGTCCTTTAAATCAGATAATAAAAACAAGGCATTTGATAGTCCAGAAATAATTTTGTTTTGATTTGATTAGAATAGATTTCAGCATATTTTGATCTCTACAATGCACTTTGTCCTACTTTTAAAGCTACTTTAAAACCTATTCGATAAACGGAAATTGCCCGCTGATTACAGCATTATTTCGCTGGATTTTGACCAATATTTCAGGGCAAATTCGGAAGAAAATAGTACATCTTGAGAATTATAAAAATGTATGGGAGAAAAAAATTACACTCTGTAACGATAAAAAGCGATGTGGTGCTAAAGTGGAATGGCTTAAAATCAAAGATGAGACTATGTTTCTGTGAAGCTAGGAAATGAGAAGTCAAGAACATTTAGTCAAGCTTCGTCTTGGAGGGTATGAAGTAATGGTGCAGATGAAAAGATTTGAAATATTGACGGCTTAATGAGGGGGCTTGCAATGCACTGTTCATCATTTTACATTACCACTTTGTCATTCAGTAGTTGTTATAACGTCAATTAAAAATTTTTATAACTTCGTATACATCTTATATGGTCTGATAAAGATGTCTTTGGTGAGCGATGTTGCGGAAGGGTGCTCCGGATATCAAGTTTCGCAGTCTTTGTCGCCACTTATCAGTCCATCATCACCGGTGAGCATTGTTTTACGTCAAGTATTTTAGTTTTTCTTGATTCAAGCAACCGTATACCAAATTCAGTTTCTCTGCACTTATTTATAAAAGAAACGAATTGATTCCATAAATCCTTGTTATGATGTTACATATAACTTTTTTGGTTGTCATTTTTTTAAATAAAACGATCTGTGTTTCCACTGCAGGATGTTTATAATAGTCGACGTGGCGGCAGTCCTTCACCATGTACTTCACCCAAACGGTTAAGCGACTCTTTAATTCTCCTTCATCTTCCTTTCAATCAGCACTCAAAAGTTCGTAATCTCTTTTATATTATATGAAACTTGATTTTTTTTTTATTACGGATTCTATAGGTAGTTATCTAAACTATTCTTATTTTGCAGGTGGAAGTGAAACCTGGAATTCTGGCACGAGACGCTATTGCTAAAATTTTGGAGAAACGTGCAATATTGCCTCAGATGTGCAGAGTGTGTATTGGCGGTGACCCTTCTAGTCCACGTATCGACCTTAGCATGGATTTAGAAACATTATCCAATGTAAAATAGATTATGAATAATAATTCATTATATTTTCCATAGTTCAAATCACCATTGTATTCTCAGTTTTTTTATTTTCCAAATGTGTAATCTTATGGGCTATTTTCTGTGTATTTTTGATGCATATTTTAGACTCTGGAAAAGAAAGAGCTCTGGGTACACAGTGCATATCTCTCTATATTGGTATCTATCAAACACAGTTTTGTGCGGAAAACTTTTTTATCAGTAGCATTCTGTGATGTTTGTCACAAACAAATATGGCTACAAGTCAGTTTTTCGAAATGATCTGATCACTTTTGTTGTTTCTGTCAATTGGAACAGAATTGAGTTGAAATTTAAGTGTTTCTCGGCTTTTTATCAGTAGCATTCTGTGATCGGCTATGGTTGTTTAGATCTACAAATAGAGCAAATTTTTAATTTTTAAAGATGTTATATCTTCCTTTACTGCGGTATTAGCAGATATTCAGTGAAGAGTGGTATAATTTGAGGTGCAAAGTGTTACTTCGAGTTTCAGTTCATCGTGGTGTATCTACCTGGACATTGTAAACTTCTTGTTTGTGCGCTCATACTTCTGCGTTAAGTATTCAGTGAAATCCCACTGGGAAATAAGATCCTTAAAAATTAAAATCACTTTTTTCCTTATTCGCGAAGCAAGAAAAGCACAACTGTATTAGTAGTCGTAATCATGCCGATCGAAAATAGGATTTTTACCAAACGGTTTTTAAGTTTGACATCCAGATTATTTCCAGTATCCAGCAGTATATTTAGGGATATCGATGTGAGCTATGCCAGTTCACATTTCATCAGAAATGTGGTTTTAAAGTCCCAAATTATTGTGATCGTATGCAGCAAATTTCGCATGATGTCCGTATGGCAAATAAATTACGAGATATATGTGATCAGTATGAAGGTCCAAACGCAGCGCTTGTTGCCGAAATTATCCAGCACTTCCAAAGCCCCTCTGCAGGTGTATTTTTTCATATCGTTTTTATTTTGTTGTTTCTGTTTTTTGAAAGAATTCAATTCTAAAGTTCGGTAAGTTCCATCAAATTCATTGTATCTTTCATGCTCCTTTATTTAAAAGTTGATTTAACGATAGCCATATATCTTTAAACTCAAGATGTCTCCATATGAGAAACATTCTGCCTATCAAAATAATGGAAAATACAAAAGAATCATCTAAGTCATGATGTATTACCTCCTACTGCCTTTCAGTTTACACTAGTAATTTGTAGATCCTCTTCCGAATCGTATTGGTATTTCGCGTCAGCAGGCCGTGCGTTTGCCAGGCCGACCTGAAATCGCAATTGGAATAAATGAATCTTCTCGGGATCGTTCGTCATCAGCTCCCAATATTTATGAAATAACGAAAGATGAAACACTACGTGAAACGGTTAACCTCAGAATTTCAGAATTTTGTGGGATATTTTTTATTTTGCTTGAAGTGAGAACTCCAGAAACATTCGTCTAATACATGATTAATTTTTCAGAGAGTGCTGGACGCATTGAGCAGTAATATTCATGTGCTTGTTCAGCCATCAGGTATCTTCTTACTTCTAATGATTTCTGGTCATAGTATTAAAGTGGGTATGATGCTTTTGAAATGATCTGGTGTGGTCTTTTACTTATCACTATAACCGACACATTTTAATGATAGACCTGACTGGTTTTTTTCTGTTGAATTTACAATCCATTTACATAGGAGTAACAAGGACAGCGAAACCGACAAGTTTTTCGGGTCTTCGAGATTGGCAACTGGCTAGTAATCGGAAGCCAAATCGTTTACATCCATCGACTCGAGCTGGAATGGGATCACCGTGTTTCACCACTTCACCGTCCTCAACAAGCTCTTCGCCTCCACCGGCTTATTCTGGAGCCACATATGATTCTAGTTCGGGTTTACCTCCTACACCACCACAATCCGCGCCTCCACAGAAGACATTTGGTTTTCGATTCCGCAGCAAGAGTATGATTTATATAGTTCATTTGATTCTGTTGTATTCTTATCAACTCAAATTAGACATAGTATAATGTTGAATCTTCCAATTCTCTTTGCTAGTTCACTTTCGTTGCTCATCGCTCGGTAATGTTCTGAATCTCCACTGTTTTAATTCAGGTCCAAACGACAAAATTCCAATTAAAGGAGCAGGCGGTCGATCGTCTGTCTCTTCGGATCGATTGGGTGAACCCCATGAAGTAAGCTTGAACAATTTTGCCAACTATCTTATTTCATAACTACCATAATTTGCAATTCAATAACTTGGAAATTCATAGAATTGTGTTTTGCATGTTATATATTCAGGGTGATTATAAGGAGAAATTAAAGCAGCGAATTTTGATGGAAGGTTGGGAAATCGATCGTGCTTTGGTAACATATCACAAGAAAATTGGTAGTGGTTCCTTTGGTACTGTTTATTTGGGCAGTTATTTTGGTAAGTGCATTAATCTAGGTATCATTCATGACTTAATTTTCTATTTCATTTGTTTTTAATGATGCCCACTTTGCGAAATTTCACAGTATTCACTGCGAGTTAAAATGAAAAACTTTACATCTTGAGCTTTGGGATAATTCTTTGTCAAACGCAATTAACTGATAGGTTGAATATATA